GGTAAAAAGAACAGAGGTGTGAATTCGACATTCAACACCAATCACCAAACAATTCAGAAACTTTTAGCTTCGAAAATGAAAACAGTTAGCAGTGTGTAAGGGCTGTGTAATTTCCTGTTTGTCCGACGCTTGGTTTTCGTGTCACTGTCAAAATTATTGCTACCTTTTACTTAACAGGGACTAAATGGTCTCTATAAAACGATAACCAGGGTCGCAAAAAAAGTCAACTGATTTGAAACACTTGCCGGACGTCTCTCTCTCTTCTGAAATCCGCCTCGGTGATCATGGGCTGGTCCGGAATCTATTTCTTTCAAAAGTGTTGCGCCAGGTTTACGTTGTCGGCGTTTCTCTTTAAACCTAGTCGTTTTTTTTATGGACGAGGACAGTTTTTCCCAAAAAAATGAATCTAAGGTTAAGTGAAACGTGTGAATACTTATACTACGACTATACGTTTCACTGCAACTGCCCACAACACAACATCTAAAAACTCTCTCTCTCAAAAAAAATAAAATAGACACAAAAAAATAAAAAACGCCGACCGAAAAATGTATATCGTTTAAAAGTATACTGAACGACCAGTGTTATTACAGCTAAGGGGTATGACTTCCTCTCACATTTTGTCATTTGGTGGCGCACTTTTGGCGAGAGTCGGAAATCCGGAAACAGTCGACCGTTTCACGATAGGTGGGCGTGGCTACAACACGAGAAATATCCCAAATTTACTTGGATACGAGTAATCATTTTCAGCAAAAAAATCAATAACTACCCTTTTCAGTGGGACACAGATCTAAAATGGGAAACGTGAGGGTGGGCATTGCATAGGCACTTCAATATTGAATGTCTGGTGGTGAAACCATTATAAGAATCGAATCGTAAAAACCAATGACATTTTTGATTTGGAATCATATTGCCAACATGACTGGGACAGATCATGTTCAAATTTTGCATATGCATCTGTTTCAGAATTTGATTCAAGATGACTGATCATCATTTTTGTGGTAGAAATTCATTATGAATGTCATGGGCAGAATAAATGAATGAATCACACAAATAAACTGGCTCCATTTTGTATCATAATTAATTAATTAATAAATAATTAATTGGCACTAATGTTGACAGTCTGTAAAAAACTGGACAAGAACTCGTCATTGACAATGACTTGTAAATCATATTCCAGTGTTCAATCAGTCTGATAGTGTGAATGATTTGTTATTTTATTCAGAGAATGAAAGAAGGTATCCTTAAAGTGTTCGGATTGCCAGTGTCCATCAATCCAAAAAGTGTAGAAGAAGACAAGAAACACAAAATTAAAGGTACGGATCCGAAAATATGCAAATTAAGTACATACATTGTAACCCCCCTCAAGATAAGTTTGCAATCCTAAACTTGAAAGTATACTATGAACAGACACATTGACACAACTGCTGCTTGTGGTAGAATTCGATACAACAATGTGAACACAAAGTTTTTATTTATTTTTTGTGAAATTGCCGTTTTAACCTCATTGATGCATTGTGGGAGTGTATAATCTTTAAAGGAAATAGGGTAATCTGTCATGGCAGATTAATAAAGTAAAAGAAATATTGCTGTTGTGTATAAGGTTAATCTGTCAAAGCAGATTAATAGAGTAAAAGTTATATTGATGTTGTATACTGTGAACCGCTAATTTCGCTAAAGACAATTTCTTGCTAATTTTGCCAGTCAGTTGAAAGTTTGAAATTTTCTAACAGTTATAATTTCTCTCAGGTCCTAAGGTAGGAAAATTTCACAAAAATTTGCACCAATCTATGTCAGTGTTCATGTTTTTGTCTTGATTATTTATCAACTACTGACTCAATTTTTAATCTAGTATAATTTAGATTCTTTGTATCATAATTTATTGCTTTGTGTTAATTTTATTACTTTATTTTTGCCTTTAGTTTATGGTCAGAACATGAACATGACATTTGTAGACAGTGTATTCGGAGGTCAGCTGATCAGCACTGTGCTCTGTGAAGAGTGTCATTTGGTAAGTACATCTATAACAATTCATTCATCCACAATTGAATGTTAGAATACTATTGCTAGTCAAATATTGTCCAGTGGTTTTCACAATGTTTTCTGTTCTATATAAATTTTGCACAGGGCTTTTGACAACAGCCTCCTTCTCATAGTATACTTAATAGATTCACATATTAATTATTGAAAGCACTATTTTTGCCTGAATATTTACTAGCAACAATTAACAGCAACATGTTGTTTGTCAGAGATTTGAGCTGCTGTCATGCTATTGGCCAGAATGCTGTTATGCTATTGGCCAGAATGCTGTTTGAATGATGCACATGGAACTCTATAGAAAGGTTAATTACAATCTTTCGCAATTTGTAAAGAAAATTGCAAAGAAGATCAATGAGTTATTAGAAAAAAAATGTTACAGGTGATCTGTTATATAAGCTATTATCCAGATACAATTCCTGTCTATTACCGTATGTGACATCATCATCACAGTTCTTAGAGACCCATTACGAATTTTAAATGAAAACTGAAATTGAAAAATAAGAATTAGTTCTAGAGTTTGCGAATGATATACATTTAATAGTTGGCTTGCTGTGCACATTACATTGTAATAGCGATGTTTTCACCGGGAATATAACATCAACATCGTAATCATAATCTGTCAGGAACGGTGCTCTTCAACATTTGTTCCAATCTTCGTTACTGCACATATTTTATAATATTGTCTTTATTTTTAGCCGTCTATAGTGTATGAGCAGTTCCTGGATCTGTCATTACCAATCACAGAAGCTAAAGTATGGGTGAGTTATTCCAAACTTTAAAGTTGAATCCACATTCTGAGCGTTCCCAATTTTGAGGCCAAAATTTCTATAAAAGATGCCTTAGACTGATTGTTAAGGATACATCTATCTGTTTTCATTACAGCCTGGGAAAAGTTTATTTTCCAAAGCTATTAAGAAAGGAAGTACATCTTCAATGCGAAGTTTAAGTTCAGACAGAGATAGTCAAGGGGAAGGTGTCTTCCTTAATAAAACTGAAGAACCGTCCCCGCCAAGCAAACACCAAATGAAAGCTGCAAAGAAGAAAGCAAAGAAAGAAGCTAAGGTGAGTGGAGTCATCTCATTTTTTGTCTCTATCTCTGCCTGTAGACCACCGTAACCTGAACTGTCGCCCACCCCCAACCTGCCGCCTTTTCATACTGCCTCTTTCTCCCAGTTTT